TGCCTTGAACAAACGGTGCTTACATATCTATGCTTTGATCAATCTGGAGGCTCAGTGAACTTATGTTAATGCTTCAGGTGACTAATTAGCCCAGAATAAGGTCCAGATGTTTGTCTGTGAACTCATATGGTTAACTTTGCAAGTACCAATCAGTACCTGGTGTGTGCTATTTTTGTCCACACGCTCATATTCATCCACTTCTGGTTAACTTTGGGTCTTTTGCGTATTTAATTCGATGCAAAAGTCCAACCTTCTTCTGTGTGTTTGGTCTGCATTTGCTATTTAAACTTTGAATTTTGGGAATGATACATAACGCAACGTCAACCAGCGCGCGGGCTGGTATTGCGCAAAGACATAACATACCATTCTTCAAACTTGAAATTTCAAGGACCAACAATGGCTACACTATTCAATACGCCCCAATATCCTATATGTGTCTTTTATGAAGATAGTACACCAGTAGCCAGAAAAAAACGTGCGTCGTCATAAATCTTAATTGAAATCTGTTCTTTATTGTTGATCTGTTCTCCAATCATGGATATGATGTTCCCCGAGATCGCTCACCTCACGTTTTGAAAGAAAAGACACTTATACCGAACACTACAGTTCCTTCGTATTCAACATTGAGGAGGCAGCCCCGGCCCATACATGAACTTGCATAAGCGAACTGGGAATTTTCTCAAACAGCAAAAAACGTACATTTGTAGAACTTATTATGAAACAAGAAAAATACATGCTTTGTAAAGTTTTCGGTGACTTAATGACCATATCTAGGACGCGGTACAAAATAAAACTCTTTAATGCCCAATTTTTGTTGTTTTGTGCCACACAAGTCACAACGCATCATCCAGCCCCGTCCTTTAAAGTTAACTTCCAGTCCTCACATTCTGTACAGGGTGCAGTGGTTGCTAGGAGAACATATCGAGAAGGATGTCCAGGACTCAGATTGTAACGCATTAACGAGCAATTCCACTGTAATTTGCTGCCGTTATTCCACATATTCATAATTACTCTGCAGACTTCCTTTGTTTGCATGCGCATAGTATGTCCTTTCAAGCCTGTGAATGGCTGTATCCATCTCCTTATTGATTCCTCAAACATGAATCTAAACTTTGACAGCGTGTGTTCTTTTCCGTAACCTGGTGAACTGACCAGGGGAAAAGTTTTCAAGGTCGACAGATTAACGTGTGAAGTTGCTTTCTATATAGAGCCCCCTAAAGAACGTTGTGGATAAATCTCGTGTCGATTCCATCGTGCTGGTACAGTTGAGCCTATATGTACAAGGGTGCCGTTCATTTGGAAACAATACCAACCATGTCAAGGAACTATCAGGAACCGTACAAACAACACGAACACACAAGGTCCAATGAAGTATGGTATACACCAGATGGCGAACGACCAATGCCTTCCCCGACTATGACTCCCTCTTCAGTTATACAATACCCATTTCCTAGTTCGAACAGCAGTTATGCGGACCATGCAGTGCTCACAACTTACCCTGCTGTTCACAGTGGTGCTCCTCCATTGCCGCCAACAGCGACTTACTATACTTATCCGGCACCTCCTGTCTATGAGAGGTCAAGCACAGCACCTTCAATGATGACTCAACAGATGTATTCGCCTATACATGTGGTACAATCAGAGCCACAACCGCAACCTCAAGCACAACCTCAAGCACAACCTCAAGCACAACCGCAACCTCAACAGTACCACTATTCTCTATCTCCCCAACAGCAAATCCAGTTATCACCTGTGCCAATACAGGTCCAGTCTTTCCCACAAACAGGTGTCGAATACCCTACACTCTACCAATTACAGACCATACCTCAGTACCCACAGATTTTAGAAGGACAACCTTACCAAATCCAAATTGAGTTCCCAAGATACGTTCGGGGACAGAAATGTCCACGATGTGGACGCCATATAGTTAATGATATTGCCAGACATATGCGCATTCATGAACCCGTTTCGAGGTTCAAGTGCATATACCCAAGACAGCAATGTTCCCACAGAAGCGGATATTTCAACAAGAGATATGACTTCCACAAGCATCTGCTACACTCGCATTTCAAGTTTGACGACCCAGATGTGAAGAAGCTGGTTAGTGTTAACGATAAGATGAAATACATCGGAGCGTGTAAATGTGGTATGAAGATGACAGGCAGGGAGTTCTTGAACAACCATATAATGATCAAGGATGCACAGGGGAAATACCTGTGTCCTGATCTACGTGAAAAATGGAATAGATTCGGTGGAACACCTATAAACACGCCTACAATGGATGCCGGTAATCAACAGCAGTTTGGAATGATGCATCCAAATAGCATATAAGTCCATGGCATGGCCGCCCACTACACACTCCACTGCACTTTTTCTCTTGCTCATCAATTAGATAACCAGACCAATAATATACATCGACATGTACTATAGTTACAATTAACACATAGCACCAAGTGTCTTCAATTGGAGAACTGTTCATCAATGCTCATAACGCTACCTGATTTGGCAACTACCTATTTAGGAAATTGTTTCGTGTTTTTTTGTGATTTGGCACGCGTCACATTTTCCCCCCTCGTCGCGTAGGCGCGTTTTTTGTACGTTCAGTATTCGCGTCTTTCATCATTTTTTTTGTTAGAGTGTGTTTTTACGTTTTCGAAGACCACAGCGGTAACATTTGAACCAGCAGGGCGGTTTGTTCGTTTTGTTTCGACACGGTGCTTTGATAAAGCGGTTATCCTCTCTAAGTTGATTTTGATATCTTTGGAGCTTATTTGAACCATTGTACCATGGCGAATCCAGCTTTCTGGTTACAACAGCCAGCATCGTCGACGCCTTCAACGCCGCGTCGGTCACGTATAAAGGGTGGGAAGTCACATTCCAAAGATGCTCGGAAGGTAGTGCCACTGTCTTCACCACTGCTCTCCAAGGCTTGCCTATCTTACGTTGATATACGTAAATCGTTGTCGTCTCCGTTAGAGAGACGCGCACTGCCATTGCCATCTCCATCACCAGAAAGACAACAAGAGGTTGTTATCATAACCTCTTCTCCCCCAAGAGCGGAGACACTCAAGGCGACGAAGACAGTGACATTCCACAAGGAGTTGGTGCAGCCTCCGTCGAAGGTGACGACGCCAAGGAAGTCAATATTGAAGACTCGAAATGACTCAGCCCAGCTGGAAATTGACCTCGTAGGAGGATCAAAGTACTCACACCTGGAGTTTTGGTCAAAGGGTGAGATAGTCACGCCTAAAGATTCTTCATCTGCTGATGAGCTGAAATCCTTTAGTGATATCTTGAACGGTGGGATGACCGTTCTGAAGGATCCAGAGTGTAATGTACGGTTTGAGATTTATGCTTCGTTTCAGGGAATCTTGAAGAATATCAATGATAAGAAGATTGATATTCTTCTACCGTTGTTAACAGAACTGGTACGAATATTACAACATGACCAACAGATGATTGAAAATGAGCTCAAGCGCTGTGAAAATCCAAACCCCTTTTTAACAAGAACTGACGTACAAATTGTGAAGGTCATGTCATTTTTACTGTCAAGTGAAAAGATTTACAGACGGTTTTGGAAAAAGTCCCCCAAGGAGGTACAGTCTATGGCTAAAAACTCAGTGGTGGCGGCGTCTTTGGCAATCACTTCATCAACCATACCCAAGAGCTTGCTAACGGCTAGTTTACAGCTTTTGAAGGACCAAAAAGTGCATGCCCTTTTACCGCAATCAGTAAAGGAAACTGTCGTGGCTTCTCTGATGAACACCAAACAGTTCCCTACATTATCGGTACTACAGGAGAAGCTCAATTGCCTGAAATCTATGATTACAGCATGTCCCACGATTATGGAAAAGACCGTCAAATCATGGGCTGGGTTTGTACTCAATAGCATATGTGACTTCAACTCACCATTTTCTAAAAAACTGTCTTCCGTTGCCAGCATTACACTAGCAGAGGCTTCAAAGATATTCTTAACTTCGAAACCGGTTTGTTACGAGATAAGAAAGATGCTAGCGGCTCCAATATACACGACTTTGAGTGTTGAACCTTCAACTCAGATTTCAGTCAGCTCAACACCAGTGGATTTGCAACAACCCACCATAGAGTACATCTGCGATAGACTGTACGATCTGATCGAGGCAGATAGTATAAAAGTTGCTTTGGATATATGGGTTAGTATAACACTGATATGGTTTGACGATTTGTTAATGGTGGATGTCAATAGCCCTTGGGTTAAAGTTATTGAAACGTGCCTTCAAGATCCAAAGGTTGAGAACCGTAACCTTGCTTTGAAATCTTGGAAGGCTGTGGTTTATGTGACTTGTGGAAACATCGCACTTTTAACTAGTGAACATGTTGAGAGTCAGCTAGAAACCATGTTTCACATCTATGATGAAGAATATTCACTTGGGCTATCGGTCTCATCAGAAAAAATTATATGTTCATTGACATCGCGGATTCTATATGGTATGTTCTCAACTACGGAGTCAACCAAATGGTTAAGTCCACAACTGTTTGAGACCTATGTGCTCAATTCAATGACTTTGACAAAGACACATGCTCATTCTTGGAACTACATGGTACAGTTGCTTGTGCGATTGCTTCAACCCTTGACCAACATGTCAAGACCAACTTATCTTACAAGGGTTTTATCAGATGATGCCGTTGAGCTGTTAGAGATTAAACCGTTGACTATGGACATTGTTTTCCAAGTATATCCCAAGCTCATGTCGATATTTACCAATGATGTGTGGATGAATCCAGCGGTTGAAGAAAATGTTCAGCTGGCTCTATTGGCAGCTCTTATGGGACGTGTAAGATCCATACCACAGAATCAAATTGTCGGTAAACGTGCAGAAAGAATATCTGCTATCTTGAAAGACTTGAAGAGATTTTTCCCGATGTACATGGACCACCCGAATGCTCAAAATGTCAAGTCAAAAGAAGCATTGGAGTATGTCAATAGATTTCTGACTTTGATAAAGACAAACTTTGGTCCAATGAGTTACTGCACAGATGTTAACTCAAAGGGGGAGCTCGAGTATTCACATGAGAACATTTATGTGGAAGTTATAAAATACTGTATCATAAGGGGGTTCAGGGAAGTTGACATATTGAAGTGTTTGCTATTCCATGTCAAAGGTGGATTGAGATTGAGATTATTCGAAAGTTTGGCTTTGAAGATTAAAAACCGGAAGGTTTTAAAGTACATTTCAAACAACCTCGAGAGCACTCTTTTTGACAAGAACATTACTATTACTTCTGTGAATGCACTAGGAAGAACCATCAGCATTCTTCCAAAAACATCGCCTCTTCTAGGTGCATTCATCAGAATGATACATTCGTTTGATTCACCTGGTAGTCTTTTCTCCAGTTTGAACATTCCTTCGTGGTCATTTGATGATATTCTGTTATTACTGAATTTGGTTTCTGATAACGATACTCTTAAAAGTACTTTGCTTGGCTCAATATCGACAAAGCTGAACAATGGTGATTCCAAATTTGCTTCGAAGTTATTTAGATATCTTTCGACAACTGCTGACAACGATACCCTATTCTCATTGAATCGAGAATTATTCTTCTATGCAATGGATCCACGTGACTATTGTACTGAAACTTCTCATTCAGCTTTTGTTGATATTTTAAAGTCGTTTCTCCATGCGTACCAGGGATCTCTCTCAACGGATTCACCAGACCTCAGAAAACTTGACGTTATCCTTTCCCATGGGCTACAGTTGTGTAAAGGTGTGCTGCTTGATGAAAAGTACAAGCATGTGTGGAACAGATCTCGTGATATCAACGAAGTTTTAGACTCATGTATTGCAGTGCTTCCATCTGAAATGTTGAACAGAATGCCTTTGGTTCTCAAGGAATTGGAAAATGATGTGATTCCCTGTCCAGGTAATCACAGTAGTGAAATTGGGGCAAAAGGTTCATATGTCGAAGTACTCTCTTCGACTAGTAACAATGAAGCAAGTATGTCATTATCTTGTTCAGGATGTGCTGAACAGACAAACTCCATGGAGATCATATTGGAGGGGACTGAGCAATCACCAACACAGAATAAAGCTCTAGAAGCGGTACATGAGCTCTCAAAAAAGAATGCTCTTTGCATACAGCAAGAACAGCTTATCGAATCTGAGGTCGCAATAGATGTTGTAAACTCATCTAGTCAAGAATTGGTTATTGAGAAACCTAATGTGGGGTTTAGTATGGATCAAAACAGCGGAATTAAGGAGATAAGCGACGGAGATCAGCATATTACATTGTCTAACAACTTGAACGGTGAGGTGGATACTGTTCAACGAAACATTGATAATGGGAAGAGCGCATCAAGCGATATAGAGAATGTCCAGTCCGAGACATTTACATCCTCTAGCACCGGCAGCAATGATGGTGATGGAGTAATAGAGATATGTGTCATTCCTGAGCATCAACCACCACCTGCGATCGATATTGTTAACTCTTCTAGCCAAGAGTTAGTTACAACTACGAACCTTCATGTGAATATCGATAACGTTGGTACAAAAGAGATCATATCAGAAGTGGTTGGTTCCATTCATAAAGGACCTGATCAGTTGTGTGTTGTTGCACCTGTTGCTTCCAGTACTCTAGCTCTCAAGGACAATGAGATTCCGGGATCAACAGAAAGATATACCGGGCTTAATGGTGATTCAGGAAATGAGACTCAACAAGACGATCTTGGGCATGGATTTTCTGGAGGCATTTCTAATCCTATAGATGAAGGCGAAGAATCAGACATGAATACTGGTCATGAATTTGCCAATCATGACGTTGTTTCTTACTCCATCCCTTCAAGCGTTGATGGTAATAGTGAACTTTGTTTGTCTCAGGAAAGCGATAAATTGGAAGGTGAAAGTGACGAGACCCGTGGCAATGACTTTGACTCCTTCAAGAACGTTGAGGACTCCATCATTAGACCATCTGTGAAACGTAAACTTGATGACAACAGTTACATCGGTGCTGTGTTGAAGAAACCTCACTCCTTAGATCTACAGATTGATTTGACTCCAACAAAGCCAAAAAGCAATGATTCTGAAAAGACTGGTCAACTCGCTTTGGCTCCAGTTCATCCGCAGGGAGATATTCGCTCCCATATTTCTTCTCTTTTTAAGCAGTTCCGGGATGACGAGCTTTCGAAAATGTCCATCGAGGAGATTTTCCAAGTTGAAGATGAATTGTTAGGCTTCATCTCAAGAATGAGATCGTTAAAGAAGTGATATCTCCATTATGATGATGACTACTCTCTATGTTCCACGATTATGGTCGTCTTGTTCTCATCTTTTATGGCATTATAAAGATGATGATTCACTGTTCTCACTGTGTAATTTGAGTACCTGGCCAACTAAGTACAAACTACCACATACAACCACCTTTTCACCCTCTTTCACTTGAGCAAACGTCTTCTGGACATCAGGTTGTACTTCAACATTCTCTGTGTATTGCAATATTTCCTGTTGTAGATCTGACGGGTCATATGGTTGTATCCATGGCATTCCGTCAACTGGGTTGAAGCTTGTTGTGATGATTCTATCCTGTGATCTGATGAGTTCATTCAACAATGGTCCCAGGTCTTTGCCCTTTGTCACTGCAATGATGAACGTCAAGCCTTCATCACCGTATTTGGATCTCAAGTACTTTGCCAATTCCTTAGCAGCCTGCCCGTTATGAGCACCATCTAGCAATACTTCTAACTGGGGGCGATCTTTCGAATAGTTCAACGATAATCGTTGCAGTCGTCCTGGCCATTGTACAGATTTAACACCATTTATGACATTTTCATGAGAGAAATTACACTGGAATGGGTAATTTTCTTGTAGAAAGGGGAATAGCACTTCAAGAATCTTCAGAGAAACAGACAGGTTTTGTAGCTGGTAACTACCCCTTAGTGGTGAGACGTCTCTATCAACGACTCCAAATGGTGTCTGTATGTGATTGTCAGTCTGTATCACAACGTAGTTGTGTGAATGTGTTTCAATTGATTTCTGCGCAATGACACTCAGTGCATCTGGCTCATTTGTACCGTCCACTATATTTGTAATGAATGGTTTGATGATTCCAGCCTTTTCGCTCGCAATCTCAGCAATTGTATTACCAAGTATGGCCTCATGGTCAATCCCAATCTTGGTGATACCCGTCACCAAGACCCCCTTCTCAAAGATTGTACAGCCATCTTTCCCAATTTTCGCCTGCTCTATGACATTCGTAGCGTCCAACCGACCTCCTAATCCAACTTCCATCACTGCAAGGTCAACCTGTTCAAGTTTGAAGATTTGAAGCGCAACAGCTGTTAGGATCTCAAACTCCGTAGCACCGATTCCATGGATGTTGTTCAATTTCAGCACTTCTTGTTCCACCGAATGGAACGTGGACTCTGAAACTGGGACATTGTTCACAGTGACACAGTCATGACGGAATATCAAGTGGGGTGAGGTGAATTTACCAACCCTGAACCCTCTGGTGTTGGAGAGTAACAATGATGTCAAGTAGGCACACACAGAGCCTTTCCCGTTTGTTCCAGCTATATGGACGAAGTTGGCATACTTGTGTGGGTTACCAAGCACGCTGAGAAGTATGGATATCCTCTGGAGTCCAAGATCAATGGGCATTATAACGCAGGCTTCTGATGTACTCGATGGTTTCCTGGCAGCTCATCGGCTTGCACTGTAAGCGTGGGACGCAATGGGTGAACGTTTGGTGAAAGTTTATGTGTGGTGTCTGGGCGTTCTAAAAATGTCCAGATGTTTAGGTGTCCGGGTGTTTAGGTGTCCAGATGTTTCATCCCTTCACCCCAAAGCAAAAACAAACAAACGTCGGCATCAACACGGTAAACAATCCCAACATCGAGCCCACGTTCTCTGTAGCAGCTAGAAATCAACGGAGGTGAACGTATAACTTCCCTCACATTGACATCGGAAGAGCCGTTGAGATTGTCTAAGCGAAAGGAAATAGAAGAATGTCCATTGAGAAGAGAATCAAGAAGATGTTTGCACAGCCCAAGAAGGGTGAGACGTATGAGCTACGTGCCGGGTTGGTATCACAGTACGCCAATGAGCGTAAGGATACGATCAAGCAGGTGATCTCTGCGATGACTGTCGGGAAGGACGTTTCCAGCCTGTTTCCGGATGTGTTGAAGAACATTGCCACGCACGATATCAAGCAGAAGAAGCTTGTTTACCTGTACCTGATGAACTACGCAAAGACGAACCCTGAGCTGTGTATTCTTGCGGTGAACACGTTTGTTCAGGATACACAGGATCCCAACCCCTTGGTGAGAGCGTTGGCGATCAGAACAATGGGGTGTATACGTGTCGACAAGATGGTTGACTACATGGAGATTCCATTGACAAAGACGCTGAATGATGAGAACCCGTATGTGAGAAAGACAGCAGCCATCTGTGTGGCCAAGCTATTCGATCTGAACAGGCAGATCTGTGTTGAGAATGGATTCCTGGAGAAATTGCAAAACTTGGTTGAGGATTCCAATCCGATGGTTGTTGCCAATGCCATCAGTGCCCTTGCCGAGATCCACGAGACTGAACCTACGCTCAATGTGCTCACTGTGGATTCTGTCCTGTTAAAGAAGCTCTTATTGGCATTGAACGAATGTACCGAATGGGGAAGAATCACCATTTTGACCGCTCTCGCGGATTTTGAAGCTTCGTCGTCCGATGAGGCCAGCCACATTGTTGAAAGAGTGGTCCCACAATTGCAGCATTCGAACCCATCTGTGGTGCTGAGCTCTATCAAAGTTATCATCAGCAACGTAGAGAAGCTACAGGGTGAGGAGCACGAGGTTGTGTTGAAGAAACTGGCTGCGCCATTGGCTTCTTTGGTTTCAACTGCTCCAGAAGTCCAGTACGTGGCTTTGAGAAACATCAGAATCATTGTCGAGAAATACCCACATCTAATGACAAATTACTTCAAGGTCTTCTTTGTTAGATACAACGATCCTTTATATCTAAAGTTGGAGAAAATTGAAATCATTGTTAGATTGGCAAGCTCTTCCAACTCCAACATGATCCTCAACGAGTTGAAGGAGTACGGTTATGAATTTGACGTTGAATTTGTTAAAAGAGCTGTCAGAGCCATTGGCCAAGTTGGGATCAAGATCTCAAAGAGTGCTTCAAAAGCTGTTGACATATTGATTGGTCTCATCAATGAAAGAGAGCTGTACAATGAAGTTGTCATTTCACTCAGAGATATCCTTCGAGCATATCCTGAGCATAGTGCGATGATAACGCCAACCATTGTACAATCTTTTGATAAACTGGTTGATCCTGAGGCGATTGCTAGTTTCATCTGGGTCATGGGTGAGTTTGAAGTTGTCAACTATGAATCAAGATTATCTGAATTTGTCGACCAGTTTAACGACCTCGATATTGGCGTACAGAATGCGCTGGTGTATTCCATCGTGAAGATCAATGTTAAAACCGGTGCCTTGAAAGACCTTTTGGCCAAGTTGTTCAACAATGTTGACAAAGTGGAAAACATCGAGGTTAGAGATCAAATATATCTGTACTGGAGAATTCTTTCTCTGGATGACTCGTCTGAATTGAAGAAACTAGTCCTCACGAGATTGGTGAAGATCGAAACAACAATCCCACAATTCCAACCTGAGCTGCTTGAGTTCTTATTGAGAGAACTGTCAACCTTGAACTCCGTGTTGTTTACAACTACTGTGGGCAAAGGTTCCAAGCAGACCCAAATCACAAAGATCAAGGATGTGAAGTTGAACGTCATCAACGATGAAAACCTGTTAGACTTTGACGATGACGACAGCGAAACGTCTAAGCCAGGAGAAAGTGTAAACATTCTCGACGAGTTGAACGATCTCTTTTCATCCTCAAGCATATCACCCCCTGTGAACAACAGTTCCAGCACAGCTCAAATTGCTCAGAACTCCACGCCTGTCTCAAACAACAAGAACACGTCGACTGGCGGTGTGTCGCAGGATTTGTTAGACTTGTTTTAATTGGCTCATATGTATATATCTACCATCACTACATGCCTATCAACCCGATTATGGAATCCCACCTCCGTAGGGTCTACACGCTTCAGGCTTACTTTTCCACTGAGGAACCTGGTTCCACCCATAGTTCCTGTATGTGCTGGAGGGCCCGGACTCCCTTGCATCATGATGCCACTTTTGGTGCCACTTAATGTCTCCCTTTTCTACTTGATTATACGATACAGGAAGATAACGCATAGATACGTTGCAACATTGAACAATACCACCGGATCGTCGATGCACCATGATCCAGAGATGGAACAATAGAATCTCCCCAAGTGCCGTGTAAATCAGTTAATCAACAGACAACTTGCCATTGCAGACGTGTTGGCGACTGCTGTGATTAACCTGTTCATAGCTACGCCGTGCCATAAAACATGCCTCACGTACAGATGCTTCTCTGGAATTCCACGATCACCTACATGGGAAGGCACCATTTTTATGACTTCCAGTGTTTAGGCCCATGCCCAGCACGATAAGCTGTGATAACGCTGGACCATATGGGCCCTAGCGGACCTAGGCCTTTCCAACCAATCTCCGCGTGGCATCAAGACCAGCTTTATTGTTGATTGTCATGTCCAACGGGGATGTCTCATAGTACTACGAGACAGGTGAGGCCACTGGCTTGGACGAAAATCCGATTCACTTGTACAAGTTAGGCCAAGCCACGAGTTAAGTTGTTGCCTTAGTTCTTTGGACTCGAGTCTTGGTTGATCTTAAGTCTCGTTCAGACTTTTAATCCTCAGTCAGAGACTTTAGAGAAACGGTTGTCCAATGGCCACCTTTGTGCACAGCGGTGAAATACTGCCCAGTGTCCACATTTGTCCGGACTGGTTCCGGTGCCCCACTTCTTTGTTCTCGTGTTCACCTGGTGCTCACTTGGTGATCGCTCAACCTTCTTGTCGCCTACCCTCCAACGGGCCACACATGGATTAATCTGAGCTGTACGGCACCAAAAAAATACGTCAGGGTTCTTGGCGTGCATGAAACGACCTACGCCCTGAGCCCTAAGCCCCCGAGCCCTTTAGAGTTCTCTAAACTCGAGCGACCAAATGGAAAAACTCTCTCGTGCGATTGTGATCAGGACAAGTGACTATTCTGGCTGCCTTTTTCCGTTGGCATTTTTCTTCCTTCTTCCAAGCGAAGTGGCCGTTACTGGCAGGACCATTTTCCACTCAACGCTGATGCCGTAGTTCTTGGGTACTCTATTAGGGGCTAACGGCACAAAGCAAAAGCAGGCTACAAAAGTCGTGCCTCACCAACCACATCCGATATAGTTTGTGGAGAAGTGGAATTAGTCTGAGCGTATACGAAGGTGGGCTAACCCACACACTCCAATGGTCAAAGGCAGCGGTGTGTCCTGAGCTCTGACGAAATGTCTGGACATTACAGTTTGCGACGGTTTGAAATCCAGATGTAAAATTTATTGGCATCTTTGCTCTTAGAGAATAAACGATGCGCGGCCTTGCATCATAGTTAGTCCGACTTATCTTTGCTCCTCGTTAAAGTGTAAACCTGTTCAAACTTTGAGATCATGAGATACATCGTTTTGTAAGAATCAGGGACTTGCTCCAAATGCATATGGAAAGTAGAATCTGGCATTGATAAGACGTAACAACACGAGAACGTCTCGAAGGCTGAAGCATGTACTCCGTGGTCGTCACTTATCTTTAGCTTTTCTGAAAAAAGCGCCTCTTTGCTGTGCGCCACTGCATCTCAGGAATAAGTCTGCAGCACGGCCAATACACAATTTCTCCACTTGTCATGTCCCATTGCCTTTGCGACCAAGGATGAGTCGTCCGTGATCACAAGGGCCGTACGCCTTCCGTATCATCAACTTGATCTTGTCCAGAGATAGGAGCAATGATCGGCAAACGTGATTGAATTTCCCATGGTCAGCAGCCCCCATCCGTTACGGGAGACCCTTATAATGTTGCGTATCATCACATATAAAGCCAGGTGGAAATCCATAAGGTCTGTTTATTCGATTCAAGGTGCTTGAAATCATCGGATAACATCGCACTGTTAATATCACAATAATGACCAGTGCCAGTATTTCTTACGACTACGAGAAGAACCTCGACAAAGGACGCAACTCCGAGTCCATTGAGGTCTACGACGCTGAGATTGAACGCTATGGCAGCGGAGTAGTGGACACCAACGAAGATGCCATCTTGGCTACACATGAGGGCTACAGACTAAAACAACACTTGAAGGCTCGTCACGTCAGTATGATCGCTATTGGTGGTGCTCTGGGTACAGGTTTACTGATTGGTTCCGGTTCTGCCCTCTCAGGCTCGGGCCCTGCTCCTCTCTTCATTGGTTATGGATTCATTGGTCTTTTAGTTTATATGGTTATGTGCTGTCTTGGTGAATTGGCTACCTACATCCCATTGGCTGATGGGTTCTCTGGCTATGCTACTCGTTACGCTGACCCTGCTCTGGGCTTCACTGTTGGTTACTGCTACCTGTTCAAATACCTCATCGTCACTCCTAATCAGATCACGGCTGGTGCCATGGTACTGCAGTACTGGGTGTCAAGAGAAACGGTCAACCCTGGTGTTTGGATTACTATGTTCATCGTGGTGATTGTGCTCATCAACATCTTTGGTGTTAAGATCTTTGGTGAGTTTGAATTTTGGCTATCGTGTTTGAAAGTGCTCATTGTTGTTGGGCTGATCATCTTGCTCTTCGTCATTATGCTTGGTGGTGCTCCAACTCATGACCGTTTGGGCTTCAGATACTGGAAGGACCCAGGTGCCTTCAAGCCTTACAAAGGCATTGCTGATCCTTCTAAGGGTAAATTCGTCTCCTTCGTCAACGTCCTGGTCACCGCAGTGTTCGCCTACTCTGGTACTGAACTGGTTGGTATCACTGTTGCTGAGGCTGAGAACCCACGTCGTAATGTTCCAAAGGCCATCAAGCTCACCTTTTACAGAATCCTGATCTTCTACGTCTTGTCCGTCTTCCTCTTGGGAATGTGTGTTCCATACAACGACCCACTGTTGATCTCTGCGACTAAGGCCTCCACCTCTGCCAACGCCTCTCCATTTGTCGTGGCCATCAAGAACGCCAAGATCGGTGGCCTGGACCATGTGATCAACGCCTGTATTCTGATCTTCATATTCTCTGCTGCCAACTCTGACTTGTACATTGGCTCAAGAACCCTGTACGGTTTGGCCATTAACGGTAACGCACCAAGATTCTTTGGTAAAGTTAACAGATGGGGTATCCCATACTTTGCTCTTGCCCTGTGTGCCTCCTTCTGTTGTCTGGCGTACATGAGTGTTGCAGAGTCTTCTCAGTCTGTCTTTTCATATTTCGTCAACGTGGTGTCGATCTTTGGTCTCCTGACTTGGATCACCATCCTCATCACCCACATTTGCTTCTCACGTGCTTTGGCTGCCCAGGGTGTTGATAAGAGCACCTTGACATACAGAGCTCCATTCCAGCCGTACGGGCCTTGGATTGCGCTGGTGCTGTGCATCATCATTGCTTTCATTAAGAACTTCACTGTGTTCATCAACGGTTTCAACTACAAGACCTTTATCACTGGCTACATTGGACTGCCAGTGTATGTGATTTTCTATACCGTCTACAAGCTATGGTTCCGCACGAAAATGAGAGACCCTGCTGAGGTGGACCTTGTTACGCTGAAGCACTACATAGACGAGGAGGAAGAGGAAGGAAAGATCAAGGACCAGGAGAGAAGGGAAAGATTGAAGGCCAGTGGTAAGAAGGACAAGGAGTGGTTCTACGAGAAGTTCCTGTCGTGGTTGTTCTAGAGAGGAGGGTGGAGAGCTCCTGTGCTCGATTTTGTTTGTATTTATTCTATCAGTTTTAATCATCATTGCATACTTTTTGGTATACTGTTCTTGTAGTGTGAGTTGCTTTGTTGAAACAGCCTAGGACCTTGTATAACGTTGTATGGATAAAACTGCAGTGGGAATCACACGAGCAAGAGTTCTCTCCTGGTAGAGGCTGGGTTGCTGTGTGATGTTGTATTGGCCTTGAGGAGCTGAGAGGCCAATTGGCAGCTGTAGGCTCTTTATAAGCATACTATGTCTCATTAGATACTCTCAGTTGTCCAGTGCCATCAGTATAGTGGTCAATTCATAGTATAAGAATTCATAATGAATTGCAAACAGAGCAACTCTCGCATCATAACCACACCTTGAGAATCAGTGGAGTCGTTAGCAGTGGGATACCGAGGCCTCAAAGTGCGTCGTTGATCATTCAGGTAGCACCAACCTCCAATGTGCACTTTGGGCTCCACACCACATCCACACAATGTCGTTGGCCGTCTTCTTTTCTCTTTAGCGCCAATACCGGCTGTGTGGTGGGCAACTGAGTGTGAGCGTTCATTGCTGTAGGATAAGCCCAGTACGTACGATTGATGTATGCCTGTGAATGTAGGATAACGTCACCAGGGCTCTTAGCGTCTATATGAGCCCAGTTGTACACAGCTGAATACTCCAGAGTGGCTTTATTACAAGCAGAGACACCAAGGGTGCTCTCACGCGCATAAAAGGCACCAGCATCATCGTCATTTCAGTGCTATCTATGCTGATGTTACGTGGCGGCTCAAGCATTCTCAATGAGGAGCGCCAACATGGATAACTTCACGAGCGACTTGGAGAAGGACAACAAGGGAGGAGCCTTTGCTGAGTCTATAGAGGTCTTTGGCGCTGAGCGTTATGGTTCTGGCTACGTATGATGGCTAGGCACGATGACTACGTATGATGGCCACAGACAATGGCTACGCACGATGGCTACGCACGATGGCCACAGATTGAAACAGCACCTCAAAGCTGGCCATGTTAGTATGATCGTCATTGGTGGTGCTCTGGCCACAGGCTTGTTGATTGGATCAGGCTATGCCACTGGCTATGTGGACCCAGCTCTCGGGTTCTCGGCTGGCTACTGCTATCTCTTTGGGTTCCTCATAGCGATTCCAAATCAGATCACTGCAGTTGCACTGATCTTGTAGTACTGGGTCTTGTAGTACTGGGTCTCGAGAGACACCGTTAACCCTGGTGTTTGAGTTGCAATGTTCATGGTGGTGACCATGCTGATCAATATGTTTGGTGTGAAGATCTTTGGTGAGTTCGAGCCCTGGTTGTCCTCTGTGAGTGTGCTCATTGTTCTACGTCCCATCATCTTGCTGCTGGTTATCATAGTTGGTGAAGCACCAAGTCATGACCATTTGGGCGTCGGGTATTGGAGCGATCCAGGTACCCGTAGAGCTTACTCAGGAATCGATGATGAGCCGTTTGGAAGGCTCGCCTCGTTCATCAACGTCCTGGTCACTGAGCTGGTTGGTGTCATCGTTGCTAAAGCTGAGAACCCACGGCGTAACGTCCCAAGGGCCATCAAGCTCACGTTCTACAGAATCCTGATCTTCTACGAGCTGTCTGTGTTTCTACAGGGGACGTGTGTTGCCTATGACCACCTACTGCTGATCTCAGCAACTTCGTCCTCTATTTCTGCCAATGCCTCTCCGTTTGTCGTGGCCATCAAGAACGCCAAAATCGGTCGCTTAGATCATGCCATCAACGCCTGTATCCTGGTCATCATCTTCTCAGCGGTCATCTCTGACTTGTGCATTGGCTCAAGAACCCTCGACGGCCTCACAGTCACTGGGAGGGCACCAAGGTCCTTTGCAAAGACCAACAGATGGGCAATACCTTACTATGCGCTGATGGTGTGTGGTTCCTTCTCTGCGTTGGCGTACATGAGCGTTGCAGAGGACTCTCAGACAGTGTTCTCGTGCTTTGTTAGTGTTGTTTCGTTCTTTGGTGTGCTCACGTGGATCTCCATCCTCATCACACACATCTTCTTCACCTGTGCTCTGAATTGACAGGGCATTGACAGGTGCTCACTGACGTATAGTGCACCGTTTTATCCGTACGGATCATGGGGTGCGCTTGTCCTATGTGTCGTCATTGCGTTCACTCAGAACTTCACCGTGTTCATCGATGGCTTTGACCATGAAACATTCATCACGGGGTACATCGGCATACCAGTGTACGTTGTGCTTTGTCTTGGCTACAAGTAGTGGCATGAGACGAAGACCATCAAGCCAGAGGATGCTAAGCTTGTGACCTTGAAGCACTATGTCGATGCAGAGGAGGAGGCACGCATCATCAAGGACCAGGAGAGAAAGGAGAGAAACAAGCTGAGCAGCAGGAAGTACAAGTAGTGGCTCTATGATAAGTTCGTCTCCTGTGTATTCTAAAGCTGCTCTGAGGCCGTGGCTTTAAGGTAGTTATTGCGTTGAACTGAACTGAAGATGATAGACACTGTAGCTTGATGCTATGGGTGCCACTCTCTGCTCCAGTGGCCCACCATGTCATCCTGTGGCCTTGGAAAGTCTCACACTGACTGTAAATGTGTCAAGATGATGGCTCACGGCAGATGGTGCAACCCGGTGGAGGTGTAGATATTAAGCCTTTGCTGACCGTACGCTGAGGGACTCCGCCGATGACGGTGTATGAAAGCCAATTCACCACCACCAGCGCCACCAGATGGTCAGAGCTATATAGTAAACAGTCAATCGAGTCACCATTGTATCAACAACCATACCTCTAACGGTGTTATTAGCTGAATTGGAGGATGTATTCTATAACCAACTGAACTATGCTCACACATCACGTGACATTCCGCCGGATCTCCATATATACGTACCCCCGGAAGTGCCACATGCCCAACACGCCCTGCTTCGCTGCCTTTGTTGTTTGAAACCTCACAAGGGGAAAATTTTGAAAACAACGGACGGACGATCAACAAAGTAAACAAAGGAAACAAATCAACGGCGGCAAGGCAAACCTCACAGGGCGGCTCAATTACTTCATCGTTTAGAGAGTCGGCGGCATATCGCATAGGTGGACGTGTCATTGAAAGAGACCAGAGACAGAGAACGAGCTAAGGAATGTCCCTTGAAGGTTCGTCGGTCATTTCGATCGAGGCGAGCGAAGAAGGCTCAGCAAACAAGTTGCAACAGCAGCAGCAAGGCACCAATGAAGGCGGTAGTGCTATTCTCAACTTGCTCAAGCAGGGAGAGAAGAAGAAGGAGCTGGAAGAGAAGGAGCTGCTTAACAAGTCGCTAGAGAGCGGCCGTTATAAGAAGCTGGATGAGAACGAAGCAGAAGGCGACGACAATGATGATGATAATGACGATGACGACGATCTCCTGCCTACTGGTGGCTCCAAGGAGACGGCACTCAGACAGTGGGAGGTTCCCCAGTGGTCGTTCTTGGCCAGAGGCTTCCAGAATGCCTCTGTTCAGAGATACTCCCCTCAGGAGCTTCTTGCGTTGAAGAACTCGCCATTGGCCACAGCTCCAGAGGAGCTGCCTCCAAAATCGTACTACAGACTGAACGCCAAGGTGTTACGAACCGGTCCGGGGAATAACAACACGTCGTATAATAATAACAGAAGAGGTGGTGGCTATAACCGTCATGGGAACCGTAATTATGACAGTACGGGGACCATGGGTAACTTCAACCTCGGGAGAAACTCCGGTGGCCGTGGACAAGGAAGAAACGGCAGAAGAAGAGGAAGAAAATACGAAGAGGAAGTGATCCCAGGTCTTGACAAGAACGCTCCAGCGATCTCGAATGCTGACGATTTCGAGAAATGGAAAGCTCAGATGAGCATGGGAATAAGAGGTGAAAAGAAAGAGGACCGTACAGCCAGCAACGTGTCCACGCCTGCTGCCCATGATGAGTCCAAGAATTCCGTGGACAGCTTCTTTGGACTAGCTGCTAGATCGACTTCGTCTACTGTGGGTGAAAAGAGTGAGCCTCACGACTCTAAAAACTCGAGATTCTTTTCAATGTTTGCTAATGAAAGCCAGCCTTCAACTCCACTGGAAGAACCTTCCCAAAAGGAGCCAAAGGGTGACGTTTCCAAGATTCTTTCGTTCTTGGATCGTGGTCAAACTCCGGGTGAGAAGGTGTCAACTCCAAAGAACATCTCTCCACCTCCAGGGTTAGCACACCCACAACAATCAACTGGAAGATCCCAATTCTTTGCTACTCCAACAGGGGGGTCCCCACAACAACAGGAGCAGCCAGATAAGAACCAAGAGTTTCAAAAGCAGAAACAACCTCAGTTCCCTCCTGGTCTCGGTCCTCAGAAACAACAACATCTGGTTGGATCTCCTTTGCCACAGCGAGAGAACATTGACCAGCAAAATGCATCCGACCAACAGCAAAAGCAATCTGTGCGTGGTGATACTGCCACTCCGCAAGATCAAAAACCGGCTTCTCAAGCGCAACAGAAGAGCCATTCACAGCAACAACAACCATCTCATCCTCAGCAGATGTCATTCCAACAACCCCCACCTGGTCTTCAAGGGATGCCACAGATCCCACCATGGATGAATGCAAATATCCCACCAAATGTTAGACAACAGATGTTGGCACAGGCCCAACAACAACAGCGTTTCATGATGCCTCCTCCAGGTATGGGTATCCATTTACCTCCTGGAATTCCTCAAGGCATGCCTCCACCGCAATTCCAAGGTGGCAATGCCAACTTTGTTCCACAGCAACAAATGAGAGGTAACATGCCTCCTCAAATGATGTATCCACCACAACTTAATGAGCATGGCATTCCAATGTTCTTGCCTCCTGGTATGGCTCCTCCATCAGGTCATCAACAAGGACGTCCACAACAGCAAGAGAGTCAACAGCAAGGTCAGCAACAATCACAGCAGCAATCACAGCAGCAATCACAGCAGCAACCACCACCAGGGTTTTATCCTGGTCCACCTCAAGGGTACATTCCTACCAAGCGTTAGATACGTGACATGACAGATTTTTGTGTTTTTTGGTTTTCTCTTTGCCATGTTCATTCTCTTGTGTTTTCCTTTTTAACGATGTTTTCGGTAATTGAATACTTTATTCGCTTCTCGACTTTGATGAGTTGATAATTGTATGGTTAACTGGCTACAATCTCTATCTAATTCTTAATAGTTCAACATTAAAAGGCATTAAAGAGTATCGTTGAAAAGGTCTTAACTGTTCTGTCCGGCTGTAACGATTCTAAACATTTCACCTCTTTTACGATACAGATCTTGATACGTGCCCTCCTCCACGACCCGTCCATTATTCAGAACCACCAAACGATCCGCAACTTTCATCATCTCTTTAGAATGAGTTATCATCATTACACTAATGTCCTTGAGATTTTCCTTAACCAACTGAGCGATCTTTGAAGTGCTTTCAGCATCCAACGCAGAAGTGCATTCGTCAAGTATCAACAACTTTGGCTTTCTGATCACGGCTCTTGCAATGGATAACCGTTGCGCTTGGCCACCGGATATCAGAGACGTCTCAATTCGAGTGTCCAACCCCTCGGGCAATGAAATGATAAACTCATAAATGTTTGCAAGCTTTAAGGCACTAATCAAATCCTCATCGTCATAATTGTCCAATCCATATGTGACATTATCACGAATCGAGCCGTCAAAGAAACTAGCCTTTTGGTCAACAACAGAGATTTGCGATCTCAGCCACTTCAATTCTATGCTGTTCAAGTCAACTTCATCAAAGAATGTGCCTTTTGATTCGTACAATCTTGTAATCAAAAGTGCCAACGTTGATTTACCAGACCCTGATTCACCAATTATCGCAACAGTTTCATCACGGTTAATTTCAAGGTTGACATTCTTCAGCACTTTCTGTCCCGGTGCTGAAGGGTAACAGAAGCTAACATTCTTGAATTGAGCAGTGGCATTTGTATTCAAATCGGGGATCGTATCTCCCTTTGACTCGATATCACTATCTGGGAGATCTATGATATTAAAAACATAGGTTCCAGCTCTTTGACCCCGACTGATGTCCGGTATCTGGTTTATCATCTGAACACAATTCATGATTGAGAATACCAAAAGAACAAAAGTCGTCATCAGTTGCATGACATCGTACTCACCATCTCCAACCAGTTTCATGCCGTAGTACAAGAGAACTCCTTGGACTACAAAGACCAGCAAGTTACTTATAGCAACACCCATTCCAGTATAAAGGGCCCTTCTTGAGGCCGCCCTCTTCAAAACATCAATTTTCTCATGGAATTTAGATTCAAAGTGCTTCTCAAGTCGGAGAGTACGAATGGTCTTGTAGCCCTTCACCGTTTCATAAAGGTGAGATTCTAATGTCGCCACGGCATTTTTGTACTCATTCTCAGACATTTGCAACAGAAAGGCATAAAGTGATGAAGTTATCACAAATGCTGGCAGCATTGAAATGCACACGAGAGAGAGCTTCCAACCTTCAACCAGAGCCCAGGTCAGCCCCATTGTACAGAGAACAGTAACGCTTGTAATGACACCGAGAAAATGGGAAATTAATGATCTGAGATCTCTGCAATCATTCATCAGGAGAGTGTTGACCTCTGCAGCATTATTAATGGTTTTTGAAAACCATGCCATGCCTTGTTTGGATATTTTTCTGAAAGCCTGCTTCCTCAATCCGTAAACCCATACCTCTGCTGAATAGTTTAATAGAAACTCCTTTAAGAAAAGGCTTGCTCCGTCAACGAAAGCCACTGCAAGCACAATCATGGACCATTTCAGTAAATAGTATGGGCTTCCAACGCCATCATCCTGAGGAACAATGCCTGATAAAAGATGTGCAAATGCGTATGAAAATACAGGTCCAGCAGCACCGTTTATAACAGCAATGCCAATTCCAAAGGCTAGAGCCCATTTCTTTTCAACAGTCTGCATCATTCTGTTCACAATATATCTAATAGGACTCAAGCTGGGGCGCTCTTCGATCTCCTCCTCGTCTAACTTCCTTTCACCAATAGTTCTGTTTATAGCTCTTGGGTGTGGTGCTATTGAATTTTCCATCTCATGAGTTTGGTAATAGCTCAATGGGTTCACTGATGAGAGGAACTGTGTAGATATGCGGTTTGCGACTCTGTTCAAGAACGATTCCTCAATATGCATTTCTGATGACATATTGTCTTCCTCTTGTGGCTTATAATTATCCTGTAATGAAACCAGATATTGAAAGATCTGTGCATTCTCCATGTCCTTCCGTAGTCCCTGTTCGGCCACTCTGCCATCCTCCATTAGGTATACGTAATCATCTGGACCAATTTGGTTGAATTCGTGAGTCAGGATAATTGTTGTCTTTCCCTTTCTCCATGTCTTCACTGCCTCTATCACCAAATCTCTCATCACTATGTCAAG